CTGTTTTACACTTGTATCTTGGTGTGGGTATTCTTAATCAAACTGCTACATATTGGATTTGATTATATACTACTTACTTTACCTTAATTCGTTCTTAGCTCTCAACTTTAAAATAGTGTTAGGAAGAGTGAGTGTATGGCAAGTCTTGAGAGCCTGTGGATTTCAGGATTTCACGACCTCATAGGGTGAATTCTCTTGAGATGGATTTTGTCAGTTCGAGAACTGTTTTGTTCTTTAGATGTTGACCTTGTTTAAATTAGTCACAGGTAAATGAATTCTGGGTATTTGAGGCTCTTTCAGTAGCAGCTATTTTTTGCAGAAAATCTATTGTCAAATTACTGCTGCCCATGGAGGGCGTTTTTCAAGCAAAGTAAACAATTAATTGCACATGAATTCTTGGAAATAATTTGAAGATTGAGGTAACAACAATTTGGTTTGAACCGAAAAGACCAAATAAGATTATTGGGAGGAGGTGTCCTTAAGTGACGCCTTCAGTCCCATCCTTTCCTCAGATACGAATACTTTTTATAAGACCAAACTCTAACCTTAACCTGAGCAGGTTCCCTTTTTTCCTAATTGTTAGCTAGGTAGGCTTGTTACATGACCCTAATTTAATTCCCTTCATCCCCTCATTAAGATGATGAGGGGACTGGAGCATCTCTCGTGTGAGGAAAGGCTGAGAGAGCTGGGTCTGTTTAGTCTGGAGAAGAGAAGACTGAGAGGGGATCTCCTCAACGCATATAAATATCTAAAGGGTGGATGTCAAGAGGAAGGCGCCAGACTCTTCTCAGTGGTGCCCAGCGACAGGACAAGGGGCAACGGGCACAAACTGGAACACAGGAAGTTCCGTCTGCATATGAGGAAAAACTTCTTCACTTTGAGGGTGACCGAGCACTGGAACAGGCTGCCCAGAGAGGTTGTGGAGTCTCCTTCTCTGGAGACATTCAAAACCTGCCTGGTCACAACCCTGTGCAACCTGCTCTATCTAGGTGATCCTGCTTTAGCAGGGGGGTTGGACTAGATGGTCTCTGAAGGTCCCTTCCGACCCCTCCCAATCTGTAATCCCCCTAAGAATCAAGGACACTTAATTTCTAGGATTCCGCCCCCCCTATCCCCAGAAAGATTAATGAAATTTTCAGTTATCATTGTTCATGTATGATTAAAAGTGTCTATTATTAGACCATGCCTGGCAGCAGAGCAACTGCCCACTTTTTGCGTAGTAGGATATTAATTAATACCCTTGTTCCACAGGCGGCAAGGCTGGAGATGTAATCTGTATCCAGCCCGCAGGAGGTTAAACTCTTATCTCCTGCACTGCAGAATGCCCTAAGCAATAAACTGCGGCTCAGTTGGAGAGAGGTTTTCCCTGCTCCACTTTGTTCTGGCTAGTTTAGAAAGGTTGCAATTACAAAATTCAATATAGACTGGATAGGGTACTGTTTCTACCTAATACTATTCTTTCTAATGTGTGGAGTGTAGCAGGTTCTGCTACCCTCTAAAATGCATGTTTCCCTGTAGTCGTAATGCCTTTTGTCTTTTCTAAAGACAGAAACTAGCTTTTCATCTAATTTTGTCCCAGATTGAAATGGGAAAAATCATTGCCATGGTGACAAACCTGAAACAGGATTTCAGCATGACACAGTAAAATATATACATACCTCCTACCCAGCCATGTATCTGAAATACTTAATGCATCCACAAATGGATTGTAGTTGGTCCAGCTTTACCCCTTTTTTTTATGGAATCTGAAGCTTCATCCAAAACATGGAATAGAGTGCGTATAAAGATGAAAGAGAGCATTTGTTCATGGAATGGATGAGCTTATCATATCCTGGTTATTTCTGAAGGAGCCAGTGGAATTGTGTTTCTCTCCAGTGCTAAAATTTTTGCTTTCTAAATGAAAACCGGCTGGTATATGGAAGAGTCAAGCCTGGTCTGACTCTTGAATTAATTTGGTAGAGGATTCATTAGTCGTGAGGTTGTAGGGTTCACATTGGAAACACTTGGTCAAAGGGAGATGAAAGGGTTTCCTGGTTTATCTTACGAAAGGCAGTGTGCTCTGAATGCATGGGTACCGTAAAAACTCAGAAGTGAAATGCAGTAAGTCTGATGATTGTGGTAACTCATTGTTGAGAGGGCTTGCATTCAGTGTGGATTAGTCAGTGGCTATGGTTTTATTTATAAATGGGCTCAAATTGCTTAAGCGTGTGCTGGTTCTCTGGCAGTGCAGGGATAAGAGGTGAGCACTGCCAAGCTGTGATTGCGCACTGTGATTCAGGAATGGCATTTTTTTACTCAGAACAGAGGAACAAGCTTTGGTATTGTTGGAATAGAAAACCAATTTTAAAAACTAAAATCTGTCATGAAGAAGTCTATAGTCCTTTTAATTGTTGTTGGTGGTATTATTGTTGTTGTTGACAGCAAGATGAAATCTTTTTCAAAGTGATCTATTACAGGTATTTTAGCTGAGCATTTTTGGCAAGACCTTCCTATAAAATCCCTTTTGAAACATGTCTATGGTCTTATCAGAACCTCTTTTGCATAACATGTATTTCATAAGTAAGATGCATGTGTTTTTTCTTTTTTAAAAAAAAGCCTGAATCATCCTCCCTACCTTTATTTTTAAGCTAAGCACTTTCAGCATAAATACAAACTGCTTCTGCAAATGCGAGCTAAGCCTGTTGCTCTGTAGCCTTTGCAGCCCTTTTCCTCTCCCCTCCCTTTCCTTCCCTCTTCCACCCACCTACTTTCCTCCTACTCCTACTCTTACACCTTCCCCAGGTGCTGGGGTACTACAGAAAGCTCAATGGGTTTCAAATATTCAGCCTTCTCCTAACTTCCAAAAGATGAATTGGGAAAATTTGAAAAAGACTAACCTTAAAGGGTGTTACTAAAGGCCATTTTTAAGTCCCAAAGTGCTGAGCAGTCTATAGTGTTTACATTTCTATTAGGGGCTAATATTTTTTGAAGTAAATAAATTGTAAAAAAATAACATAGAAATACCTGGTAAACCAACCCATGCTTCAGGTGACCTGAACATGGAGATTTTACACTCATGAACTGTACTAATAAATTACTTACTCTCTTTTGTGTCTTAATATTCACTGAAAAATGATATTTTAATTAACTTTTATTTAACTATTAAAATATAGATATTGATTTATAGGTGACTCCTACCTTCCCCCTACTCTGTTGTTCCGTGGTCTGTCAGGATTACCACTTTCTTTGTTAAACTCAGAAGCATTTCCCGGTTTGTTTCGTTACTACGAGGTGACAGACCCCTTACAGTGTATACCTGAGACTTCTTGCAGCTTGGGGAAAGAACTGGTCAGTAGTAATGTAAACTTCACGTGACTAACAGCCGTGTCCCACCTGGGATTTTCCTGTTTGGGATAGTTTTTCCCTTTGCTGCTACTTTTCCTCACTTTTTGGAGGCTAGTGGAATTTTTTAGTTACATGAAATATTTTGGATATAAAACCCAGCTGAGTAAGCCCAACTGATTTTTACTTTCACTTGTTTTATCTTTTAAACAAGATTAGGGAAAACTTCCAGAGTGAAAGGAAAGTCAAATCAGGATTGTTTCATGTGCCCAGTCTCCTGGGACTCATGGTGACATAGGAATATAGGAAAGATTTTAAGTATTAGTTGCTTCAGAGCTACAGACATGTAAATCTCAGCCATTTGTGTCTCATTTGTGCAAGGTCCATAGATGACTTGACACATTTAAACAAATTATCCTCACCTAAAATGTCGTGGAAAGAATGCCTGCGCTTTCTGTACTTTCCAAGGTGAACCAGTTCATTTGTTTCTAATGGGAGGTGGGTAAATGAATCCCATATGGATGGAAAACTGTGTCTCATCTCTTAAGGAGAGTGAGAAGACAAAATAGAAAATGTATTTTTACTATTTCTTGTCTATTACTGTAGAGATGTATACAGAAATTCTTCCTAATTGGTGAGTTTTGAACTGAAGGTGTCTCATTGCTTTTAATTTGAACAAGTAGTCTTTAAGTCCTAAGATTCACCCTTTAAAGTATTTTTTTCTTCCATAAAGATTAAAATTCTGTCTTTACAAGCTAATATAAATTTAAGAAGAAAAAAAAAAAAAGTTGTGTTTCTGTAGAAATCTGCTGGGACAATGTGCTTGTTTCTACAAATACTGACTGCAATTCTGTATATGGATCATCCAGTCTTTAGTCAGTGCCAGTCATCTTTATGTTTTAAAGCAAAAGAAGGCAGAAGATCTCTACCTTGTGTAACGTGTTGATGTTCTAGGGATAACATCACTCCCTGGTGTGTCAGTACTGTGAAAATCCCATTGGATGGGATTGGAATGGGAAAATTGATCTACTTTCAAATGTCATTTCTCTGAACAGTAAAGGTGTACAGGTTGCTCCCACCCTGAAAACTGATCATTGACAGAGCTGGATTTATTTTAGTAGGAGGAATGATCTCTGACAGACATAAGAAAAATTTTTATTTTTAACTGTACCGTAGCTGTGTTTTACAAAAGGAGAAATAAATTATCCTGGTTAGGGAAGCCTGGAGGAAAGTTAAAATGTCATAATATCCCACTGCTCCATCTACTGAAAAGCCTGATTTTATCCCCAAGCTGCAAGAAAAGTGAACAATCCTTTGTAATCAAGCTATGGAGCTCATGAAAGAGAGGGACATCTTTACTAAAGGACTGATGCATTATCCTATTTTCTAATAACATTGCTTTATGATACTGTTTCACTTTAAAATGCTGCATTTTGAGAAGAGGCATTATAAGCCAGAGCATACGAAAACTTGATTGCTTTTTCTTCCTTACAATATAAAGCAAAAACTTGGATCTTAACAGAATGGCAGTGCAGTGTAATTGTGTTTTTTAAAAAAACACATCAGAACACAGTTACACATAGTCAAGCTGGATATAATGTTAAGTAGAACTGAGTAATCTTGCCATTTGTATTGCAGCTACCTTTTGACTTTGTGCATTTTGCTTTTCTGTTTCTCAGATGCACAGCCCACAGATGGAGAAAGGGAGGTGTGGAATCAGATCAGTGCAGTTTTACAGGACTCGGAAAGTATGCTTGCAGACCTTCAGGCTTACAAAGGAGCTGGACAAGAAATTAGAGATGTATGTTTGTTGAAGTTAATGACAGTTCTTTGGAAGCAAAATCAAGCAAAACTCAGTGTGTTCCTTGCTTCTGTTCTGTATCCAAGCACATTCTATGAAATTATATGAAAATTTTCATTAAAATTGTATTTAGAAAATACGTTACAGATTAGGTGTAATGTTGAATATAGAGCCCTAATGTCAAATTGTTAAATGATGGCTGTTTGAACTTCTTTTAGGTTTACTATTAGTAATTATTTTTCACTTTGAGAAACACCATTTCATATACCTCATTTCATATATCTTATGGTAGAAGTCAAAGTTGAGGACTTGGAAGAAATAATACTCTGATGTCAGAAATACACTATAAAAAAAGTTGAAGATAGTTGTTCGTCTGTGTAAGCGAAATAATGAACTGCAGTAAATTATAACCTTACATCAACTTTGCAGGCATCTTATTCTATGAAATGGATCCTGAACTGTAGCTTAGAATTTGGCTCAACTGACCAAACCTTTCCCTCCATCAGCTTTGCAGTTACTGTTAGTCTGAGCTGTTGGTTACTTAAGAACCTGAATATGCTGAAGATTTCAAAAGCATTGGAATTTAAAAAAAAAAAAAAAAAAAAAAAGACAACTATTTCTGTAACCAGTAATCATACCAAAGGTCTTCCCTGATGTTTCTGCCATATTTTTTCCCCATACAATGTGATAAAACATATTCCTATATGTCAGTGGTGCATTTGAATGAATAATTTTAAATAAATGTTACAAGGGGAGAGGATGCGAAAACCGATATTTTTTGGGCTCACCAGTTTCCTATTCCTGTGCAATGTAATTGTTCTGTGTTTTACAATACTTTGTAAAATAGTGAACTAGAAAACTTCCAAACCATCTTTTGCTTGTTATTCATGGATCACAGTTATTTACAGTAATATTTTCATTCCAGGCAATACAAAACCCCAATGATATCCAGTTGCAAGAAAAAGCATGGAATTCCGTATGTCCTCTGGTTGTAAGGTTGAAGCGCTTTTATGAGTTTTCACTCAGATTAGGTGAGCCCTGTTTTAGTATGTCTGTTTATTAGGCTAGTTTATATGTAAAGAAATAGGAAGTTTCTTTTTCCACAAGCTTTTAAAAGGTTGTTATTCTTTCTGTCTGATATCAGACATTTAGTTGCAATTACATTTATTGAGGCATATTTTTAATCTTCATTTAATTTCAAAATTATCGTAGTTTGTTAGTCACTTAAAATAAATTTGCGTTATCTAAATAGAGTACAAGCAAAGAAAGTGGTAAAACTGTTTGAAGTTTTTATCTGGTGCCTGCCACTCTTCTGCACTTCACTGGTCCATATTGTACTAATGCAATTTATTTTTGTAGTTTGGATACTTCAGAGTTTTAAAAGGGATGTAAACCAATAATACTATTTTGAGACTTTTTAAAGACAGGTGTAATAAGGGGAGAAGAGTATCAATAAAGTCTCTCACAAGATGAAAATCCAAAATTGGGCATGTTTTACAGTGACTTTGTCATCCCTAAGAACCCAAAAAATAATGTAATTACTTCTTGAATTAGGACACCGGAAGAGAACCAGTGTGCAAAAATTTATCTCTGAAGTGGGAGAGCTCCCAGTGGAAGGGAATTCTTCTACACCATCCTGCTTACTTTCACTTTTTGAGTTGTGCTAGTAATTACAGCTGCGGGAGCTGAATTCATGCTATCAGTGCCCAAGAGCACATTTTTAGTACAGGGATGCCAGAATAATATCTATACTGAGCTGATGGCTAATTGAGGAAGATGAAAGAGAAAGAGTTGAATATCTGAATGCAGGAAAAATGCTTTCTCTACAATTTTTGATAGGGAACCCAGATAAAGAATGATAAAAAGGGAAAAGAGCTCAGCGGTACAAAATGGAGCGAAAATGGCAGAGAGCCTGAAGAGGCAGGTGTCTGACTCATGTTTCTCACCTTAGAATAATAAGAAAAAGCATTTCTATTAGGGCTCTGCATGTTCAGAGGGTTCCTTCAAAAAAATTGTATTTAGATACTTACTTAAAACTTTGTCATAATGTGGACTGAATAGAATTTGTGCTTCTGATTTTTATTCAGAGAAAGCCCTGCAGAGCTTATTGGAGTCCTTGACGTGCCCACCTTATACCCCAACTCAGCACCTGGAACGGGAACAGGCTTTAGCAAAAGAGTTTGCAGAAATCTTACATTTTACTCTTCGTTTTGATGAACTTAAGGTTAATAAAATCTTTTAATGTGTGCTGATTTTTTCCCCCTGTATTTTGAACCAAAACCGATTATTTCCTATTTGTCTTCCTCTAAGATGAGAAACCCAGCAATTCAGAATGACTTCAGTTATTATAGGCGGACAATAAGTCGCAACAGAATAAACAACATGCATGTAAGTAAATAAAATTTGATCTGCTGTTCACACTGAGGTACTTATCAGTGTGCATTTATACCATTTGTGGTAATGTTTTTTCTTTTGATTCACTAGCTGTCATGTTCTCCCCTTCCCACCAAGAGTTAATCAGCAATCTGGATGAAGTGATTAGAGTGGAAGTATTCATGCAACAATCTGCTTGCTGACATCAGCATGTAGTGTATCTTTATCTTGCTGCCAGCAAGACTTTGAAGAGTTTTATTGACTATTTTTTCTCATGTTTTCATCAGCTAGACATTGAGAATGAAGTAAACAATGAAATGGCCAATAGGATGTCCCTGTTTTATGCAGAAGCCACACCAATGCTGAAAACACTCAGTAATGCAACTACTCATTTTGTATCAGAAGTAGGTAATGGGGGAGAAAAGGTCTAACACAGACATTCTTGATTTTAGTTTTACAAGATGGTTTACTGAACATTGACTGTTTTTAACCTTTCTAGAACAAAACGTTACCAATTGAAAATACAACGGACTGTCTAAGTACTATGGCTAGTGTATGTAAAGTCATGTTGGAAACACCGTAAGTTTTACCTTAAATCTTGTTTTTCTTGTATGAGAGAATTTGTATTGTATTTTAAGTAGCCACCTGGGATAAACGCATTTTTTTTCCAAATGAATTCCTGTATATTTGCATTAAGTTGTTATCACATTTGTGCACAAAGCATGACCTGGTATTAGAAAGCCTATTTTAACCACCTTATGATATTCTTCAAGAATCAACATTGAGTTTTGTTAGGGAAAGCTTACATGGGCAGCCTGTATTTCAACAAGAAGTCAACATACAAGTGTAATCTTATGCACTCATGGGCTTCAGTGTCTGTCTTGTCTACCCAGGGCCACAGGCCAGCTATTGTCTCTTGATTGCCCATGCTGCTCAGTTACTAGTACACTTGGGGGCAAGATTTTGGCTTTTCCAAGTAGTGTTTTCACAAATGGTACACAGAGACTGTTTTGAGGATCATTTGAGTAGACCTTTTTTTGATTTAGCCATCTTACTCTGGATATGAGAAACTTGAGCTGTATGGAAACTGTACAGTTGTTTTCTTAGCTGCTAGCAGAGGTATAGCCAGTGGCGTTCCTATTGTTTAACTATGCATTTAGTCAAGTATTTTTTGGATTAGAGTGGAAAACACATAGAAGATAGAGTCAAGGTAGTCTTCCTGTCTTTAAATCGCTTGTTCATGGTGCCATGGAAAGGCTAGAGTTCCTGAAGTTACTGTGTTTATGAAAATTCTGAAGAAGTGTATGTAGGTGGTGGGATTCACCTCACAATCCCAGGTCATCTTAGAAGTAGTCATTGAAAACTAACCTTATGTGTCAGTTCATTTTTTGCAAAAGTGGAGAAGCAGAAAGTTCTGAGTCATCTACCAGAAGATTAGCTGATAGTTCTAACTGTGGGATAATCAAGCATTTTCACATCAAAATGTCTGTAGCCTTTAAATCTGTTGATGTTATCATGCTGTGTTATTTAAACAGAAGAATAAAAGTTGAAGTTATTGTAAACTGAGAGGTAGTATAGTACAGATTTTAGTGTTTTTAATGATGCGTTTAAGTGAAAAAATCAAGTTTTATATTGAAAATCAGTGAATGACACTAGACAAATCTATGTATTATCTACTCAATATTTTTTAGAAAAATTGTTATAATTTCTGTTTTTCAGTATTTCTGAGTTTTCCTACTGTAGTTCATGTTTCATTTCATTATGATGGTTTCAGGGATTAGAGCAGATAGATGGCACAGTTAAGACAGCCCCTATATTCTTATTTTGCAATTCAAAAATCAAAAAACTCCTCTTTGGAACAAGTTCAGTCCATTCCTGTCTAGTGGGCCTCCACATTTTAAACACTTAGTGAACCTGCATTGTTGAAGTTGCCTGTATACCTGGAGGAGGAGTGAGGGGAGAGAGAGAGAGATGACTATGACCCACCTAGGTGAAGCCCTGAACTTACTAGCTGCTGAAATTAGTTCCCACCTAAATATTAACTATTTCAAAGTAGGAATTCAAGCAAAAAGAGTAGCTTTCCTTTGAGGTTCCAATATTCTGAGATTCCAATTCTTAAGATTAAACAAAAGTACAATCAATCTCCACCGTATTTCATGAATTGTGGAAGTCTTCTGTGAAGCTGTCATCTTAGACATTTGCTGAAGTGAGGATCTGAGCTATGAAGGGGTGTTAGAAGGGGTTTATATATCTCTATTTGCTTTCTAACCTTCCTTGTAAAACAACAAAGACTTATGCAATTGAAAGATCTTCAAAACCTTACTAAGATTCATCTTCAACCTTAAAATACAATGTTTGGATTTCATGCATTCATACTCTAGCTTGCAAATTTGTCCAGTAAAAAGTCAAGACTTTTTTTGTTTCTTTTGTTCCAGAGAGTACAGGAGTAGATTCACCAGTGAAGAGACCCTTATGTTCTGCATGCGAGTAATGGTGGGAGTTATTATTCTGTATGATCACGTTCATCCTGTGGGAGCTTTCTCAAAGACATCAAAGATTGATGTAAGAGTGACTTTTCTTTAGTACTCTGTAGATTTGAGAATACTAGTCTGCAGCTTTTTTTCAGCCCAAGCTTATGACTTTCTATAAATCATTTTAATTACTTTTGAATGGCAAAATTTAGAATTTATCTTTACCTACATACTTTAATATATTAGCTTGTTTGAAATTAAAATAAGGATCGGGTGTTTTTTCTTTGCATTTTCTTCCAGGCACAGATACTTATTTCTCTTTGTTAGCTCTGCTTTCCTGCCAACTTTATAGTTACACTAAAATAATTTTGTATTACACCTACCCTGGAATAAGTTCTATGGCCATAATTTTTTATCAATCATGTAATTTATTTATGCTGAAATGCTCATCTTTGGCAGTGGTTCTGTTGTAAATAAGCAGATATTTGATGTTGTCTCTGCTTTGTCTGAGATCTGAAGTAGCAGAACTGAAATGTTATTGCTGTAATGTTGATAATGAGCCTTCAGTTTTAGCTTTGGCTTTGACTAGTCACAGGGAAATCACTGTTATTTTTTCATGTGAGACCTTGCAAACACACACGAAAAAGTACTATTATTTGGGCCACATGGTTTTTACAAACCTGCACCATGTCTTTCAGCAAAAATAAACTGTAGTTCATGGAAAAAAGTTGCTAAGTCTTTCCCTTTACAAGAGAGCCTACTTCAAAAGAGAAAAAAATATATATATATAATTGTGCTTCATGACACTAAGTCTTCCTTAGCATTTTTCATCTGCAGATATCAGTATTTTACCATGGCTTCTCCTTGACTCTGTTTTACAGAGGGGAAGATATATCACAAAGAGGTGAATTGATTTGCTCAAGGTCATGCAGTAGATAGAGCCCAGGAATTGAATGCAAACTTCCTGACTTGTAATTCAGTCTCTTGCCTACAGAGACTACACAAGTAAAATTTTGATAGGACCAAACATACAGTGCTTGTATTTTGTTTCTCACATTTATCATAAAGCCCTGTAATCTTGCAGGATAGTTAGATAGATGTAAATGGGAGATTTGAGATGTATAACTCAGTTTTTAAAAATGAGTACGTGGTCTCAAATTTTAATTCACCTGATTAGTTTAGTGATTCTTCTCTAATAAAAAAAAAAAATATCTTAAAATATTTCAGATTATGAGTTTATTGTGAAAAACAACTATTTTCTCCAAGCTCGTCACTTCTTGGGAGCTATTTCAAGAGAATTTCAGGGACAGTGGAACAAATTACCCTTTCCTTAATCTTTAAGACTGGAGACTTTTTTTCAAGCTGTTAAATACGGGCTCCTAGCTTAGAGATTCTCTTTTTTCACTGCTTTAGGGATTCTGATTCTAACAAAAATGGCAAAGAATGGTTTGAATTTTTATCTCCTTTGAGTTTTTCTGATTTGATGAGGCATGTAAACCTTTCCTGAGTGATGTGAATGTAGTCTTGAGTTTCTCAGGTTCAAGAGAAATAACTGTATCACTTAAAAATATGTGCTGCTACCCTGAGAATTCCATCTGATCAACTATTTGCTAGTTTTATCTTCCAGGTAGAAGTGAGCCAACTGAGCAGTGATCAGTGATTGCTAGGTTGGTCATTGTGCAGGAGGCTGGTCACATTTTCCAAATAATTTTTTATGGCAAATACATGGACCCTGACTTCAGGGTAATCATCCACTTCCATAATAAGGCAGAATTGATCCTTAGCTACAAAGATGGCATGTGAAGTTAGCACTGTAATGTGACTTGAGAAGGTTCAAATCTTGACTCTGCCATGTCTTTGTCTGTTACTTAAAATAAAACGGAATTCATCTAGATTAATTTCTGGATAGCTATTAGATGTCTTCATAGCAATGGGAAGAAATAGGTACCTCTGGAGCAAGATTGACTATATCTGAAAGTATATTCTGAATAGCTTAGAGGAATTTTTTTATTTCTCTGTTGACACAGTGGGGAGTCTGTATAGTGGGTCAAATGAATTCTACCTCTGCTTTCTCTGCTTCGTTTCCTCTTTCATAAGTTTCAACAGAGTTTCAACTTGTTTTTTACAGTGCCCACAAAGATATTCAGTCAGTGTGGTGTTTAAAATCAACATCGTGTACTTCTATTCTCAGGTTAAGTTTGTAACCACTAGTTATGAAACAAATCCTAAGTTATCACCAGTTAAGTTTACAACTAAAAGCTGAATACTGAAAATTACTTCCTTGTGTGCAAGCATAAAAATAAAAGTCAAAGTTGAAACATCTCTTCTGATAGTTGCCAACAGCAATGACATGGAACTATCTTCCAAAATCTCTTTTTTTAGCTGATAACAGCTGTTCTTGATATTTTTTTTTAATTTTAAATTGGAGAAATTGTGCAAGTTAAAATATATACAGTTGATATTATTACTTATTAAAGTAGGTGTTGTTTTCTCAAAAGTTAAGTTTTTAACTTAAGATAATTGCTAATAAGTTATAATGCTTTTATTGTGTCATATAAAGCAGCATTAACACTCAGTAGGGAAAAAACCTGCCTGTCTTTGGTGAAATTTTTCCTTGTTTTCAGCTAGTGCAATTCATATATTATTGTTCAATAGTGGCATGCTTCTGTTCCCAGATGAAGGGATGCATAAAAGTTTTAAAGGAACAACCACCTGACACTGTGGAAGGACTTCTAAATGCCCTCAGGTACGTGTGGATAATTGCTTGATTCAGCCTTAACAAATTCATCATCCCCCCCCCATGCCCTTTATATTTAAGACTTTTCACCTTAGAAACTTGATTTATTAAGAAAATTGTCCTTTCAGGTTTGCCTTCAGCACCTGGGGTTTTCTTAACTAATATTAATTTCTTTCAATTCCGTATCACTTTGTTAAGTAATGACTGTTAATATTGGAAGTCATGATGTCCTTCTTCAGAGATACTTAAGGTTCATTTTATCAGCTAAAACTTAGATTGTTTATCGTTTAGATGGCTATCTAAATTAAGATTTGTTATATAAAATACCCCAGCAACTAGGACATTTTAGAAGTGAAGAGTAGAATTTCTGTTTCACAAACCTTTAATACTTCCCTTCTGTCTTTCCCTGTGATTTCATAAGATTTTTTAATTTTTTTAAATTTTGCTAAATTATACAGCTTCAAGAAAACAGCAACCTAAATCCCAATCCTATAGCTGAGTGTTTAAGGTGCTGTCTTGGGAAGCAAGACACAATGGTCTGACACTTCTCTGAGGCTGAGAAGGGAGTCGTAGTACCAAGGTTTTCAGAGCTGTATGGAATTCTGTAGCTGTTGAATGCTTGGGTAGAGTGAGAACTGCAGCCATAACCAGCTCCATATTTGTTTATGAAGTCTTTTGAATTAAAATTGATGTGGCGTTAAATTGTACAGGTGTCAGGTGTGTTTTGAGCTTATGTGATAATCTTCCTGCGAACATAAGCGGTGGAGAATGTTTGGGCTTAAATGGTAAAAAAACCACACTCAAGCTCTTCAGTCATCCCAGGACATTTAATAAAGTTGCTTAGAATTACGCTTATAGATTATGCCAAAATTCAGTCTAGATTCCTAAATCCTTTTAGTATTTACCCTATTTCTTATGTCTTTCTGTGATTTTTACTTGTCTTGAGGTTTTTAACTGGAAAAAAAAGAGATAATTTCGACAATGTCATAGATGGATGGCAAACAGGATTTAGCCAGGATTTAGCCAGAATCCTCCACCTATTAACAGGGAATAATTTATTGTAAGGGTTATTGATAGGACAAGGGGTAATGGGTTTAAGCTAAAGGAGGGTAGATTTAGATTAGATATTAGGAAGAAATTCTTTACTGTGAGAGTGGTGAGGCACTGGAACAGGTTGCCCAGAGAAGCTGTGGATACCCCATCCCTGGAAGTGTTTAAGACCAGGTTGGATGGGGCTTTGGGCAACGTGGTCTAGTGGAGGGTGTCCCTGCCCATGGCAGGGGGGTTGGAACTAGATGATCTTTAAGGTTCCTTCCAACCCAAACCATTCTATGATTCTATTTAGAAGTTAAAGAGCACCAGATTATTAGCAGTTAAATTCCAGTGATTGGTGACTAGAAGAACACATACATAAGTTCCTCCTTTGTGTAATTGAACTGCACTGATTTCAAAAGCAGGCACTGAAGTTTTCAGACTTTTCTAATCCCTGTTCATTTCATAAAATATTGTTCTAACTTGTAATTTCTAGGTTCACTACAAAACACCTGAATGATGAATCTACTTCAAAACAAATTCGAGCTATGCTGCAGTAGTATCCTGAGACAAGTAGATGTTTGTATTGATCACAGAAGATGTGTATGTTTACATAATTTAATACAGTCTGATGTTAATACTTGTGTGTATTTACATAGCCATTTTCTTCACATTGCTAAACTATATGACTCTGTTCATAACCTGACTGACTTTATATAGTGCAGCCTAAGTTTTTATGCTAGCATTTATCTTTTGACTTTTAAAATACTTTTTTACTTAGATACTTCAGCTACAACAGTTTGTGCATTTTAATCCTTAAACACCTTCTCTATCAGAGAAGTAAGTAGTAGTGAAGACAAAATGGAAATCAAATAAACTGAAATGCCAAGGATACCACAGAAAAGGAACTTTAAAGAAGAAGAAAGTTAATAGAAGATAAAGTAAAATTTATTGGATATGTTTTAAGAACACATGCAGAGTTTTTTAGTCAGTTAGTTTTAGGATCTCATCAAACTTGTATAAATAGGAGAATACCTGAATGTTCATCACTCTCATAAAATACATTGTGTTTCCTGTAATAAGTGGAGATCCACCTAATTTTAAGGATTATATGCTGGCTGACATCCAAAAACATATTGCAAAGAGGTCATTTTACCTTTTTTTTTTATTAAGTATAACCTGTAACTTTCAACAATTGAGGAAATTAATATCCTTTTTCAGATTCAATATAAATAAACAGAAAATGTGTTTTAAGACCATTGCTAGATTTAGAAAATGCAGTATAATTTTATTAGATTTAGAAAGGAAATGGTTTGTCAGTGTAAATATATCATGATGAACATTATCTCTTGGACGGCTCTACCTGGTAAGTAATTTTTTTGCTCATGTAAACCTGTATAAAGCAGAACACTCTTCTGTAGCAGCAAACTTCCCTAGTGTCAAATTGGCCTCATCAAACTAGGGATGATATAAATAAGTTTTGAGCTGAGCTGTTCTTAGGCACTCCATCAAGTTCCTTGATAGTATTATTCATTAGATGATTCAAACTCAGCACGGAAATATTTATCCGCTGTCTGCTCTTCATTGGTTTTTGAGATGTGATTGATACTTCAAGGAGTTGAGTTCCTTGCTGCATTGTTTGTTCTTACTTTCTAGTAATTTTTCCAGTAAATGGAATAGAAATACTTTGCCAAAAGCATCAAAGTGCTCATGCTCTGTTAAGTGTGTCTTCTGGGTGGTCTGCAGTTGCTGTACATATTCTTGCAGAGGTCACGTTCTGAAAATATGTTCGATTTTGTGTACTTTGCTTGCATGTATGTGTGAAAACTCTTAAGTGCTTGTGCACAGATTCAGATTTGTATTTGCTTATTCCTGTGTACGTAAATCAGGGTTTGTGTGCTCTCACTGGAATTTTCATGCATATCGCTTCTAAAAACATTACGTTAAGACTTTGAAGATGCATGTGGTCTGTTGAAAAGGCTGCGCTGTGACAAATTCAGTCCTTGAACTCAGTCCTTAAACAGTATTAATATCATAAGTTCTTTGAAGTAGGAATTGCCTTAGAGTTTATTTCTGAGCAGAACTAGGAGGTTTCTCAAGCCTGATCAGAACCCATAAACGCCAACGTTACACGTGCCGTGATACTGGGCAGCACCACAACTCCAGCATTCATGTCGCACATCTGCAGTTGTAGCAGCAGATCACTGTGGTGTTGTCAGGAACAGAATTAGAAATCGCACTAGCTTTTTTCTTTTTCTGGAAGCAGTGATTATGCTGCTTTTTCACAGTAGTAAATCCACTGTTTACAAACTCCATTTTTAAAGGGGGGACATTTAGAAATGTATATTAGGGGAAATCCTGCTTTGTTCTTAGTCACTTCCAGTTAGGTAAATCTAGGTGGATGAAAGGTCATTCTGTTGAGCTTTAGTAACCGAAGTTAATACATGCTTTACTTGCAATTATTTGTCAAACAATGAAGTCTTTAAGTAGCCCAGAGGAAAGCTATTTGTCACTTGTATAATAAAAATGTAAACCTTAAAGCATTCTGCCAGTTGTCATGTGCTGTTTGCCGAAGTCACTGAGTTTCTTTGCCTGCTATGATGTTTTTGTACAGAAGTTTGTTTGAAATAATAAAAAGTTTGGTACAGTAAGCATTGGGACTGCCTGTATTTAGACACAACATAAGCGTTTTGAAAAGTATATTTAAAGTTTTGGATCTGAGATATAGTAGGTTCACGTTTATGTATCCAGTTTATAACTTATTTGAAAAGCATTTTAAAATGTTTCACTTGTATGCCACAAGAATATAACCTCATATCACTTAAACAGTTCCTGGGTTTTTCTGATGATTCTTGGCACTTGTCTGTCGTCTTGACCAGGGAAAATTGTTGGTGCTGCTTTACAGAGTAGAGGGCATGAATCCCTTCTGTGACTTCTGTATCTTCACATTAGTCATCCTAGGCTATGGTAGCCATCTCAGGTTGCATTTCTGATCATCAGGGTCATCAGAGGAGGATTCATTTAGTCTTAAGTGCTCTCAGAAGAAGAGCTATATAGACTAATGGTCAAAGTTACTGATTTCCATTTTGGCAGTGTTTCTTCTTATTTTGGCTCATCATTAGGTAAGAATACATGTTTGTAGTGTGATAAATATTTAAGCCTCATAATGACGGCATTTCAGAATGTGCATAAATGAGTGTGACCTGTTTGGGTCAGAACAGCCCTAAAAATTCGCTTTTTATGTGGTGGAAGAAAATATTATTTTAGGGTGTTAGGAATTTGAAAGACTAGAATTTTCTGCTGCAAACAAGTGAATGGGTTTGAAACATAATTTATGACTTCTAAGCTTTCTGCTGCTACTAAGTGGCTGTCATGAATGATAGTTACTAAGATTATATTTACTGGTATGTGATAGACCACATCACTCAGATAAATTATCTAATGTTTTCCATGTCTGCTAAAACTTACAAAGCAACAAAAAGTCTTCTCTATGTTGCTTTCGATGTTGTATTTCATCTAAATTTAAACTGGAAGAAAAATGTAAGTAGTATATGAGTTGCATTCTTACATTTACTCTAAATTAAACAAAGTAGGACATAAATTTGTCATATGAACTGATATCTATTCCCCCTCCTCCATTTGCTTCTTGAGAAGTTTAATGGAATCAGTATGTTCCTACAAAAATACAGTGTCAGTTGGGTGGATGCACATTTAGGAAATACTGTGTCATTTTTTCATGCCACATCTGGTTTTGGCCAAAACCAGTACAGATTCTTGTCTGTCCAGTTCTCAGTCTGTCAGGGTCCCTATGAATGGCAGCACAGCTGCTACTAAGTGGCTGTCATGAATGATAGTTACTAAGATTATATTTACTGGTATGTGATAGACCACATCACTCAGATAAATTATCTAATGTTTTCCATGTCTGCTAAAACTTACAAAGCAACAAAAAGTCTTCTCTATGTTGCTTTCGATGTTGTATTTCATCTAAATTTAAACTGGAAGAAAAATGTAAGTAGTATATGAGTTGCATTCTTACATTTACTCTAAATTAAACAAAGTAGGACATAAATTTGTCATATGAACTGATATCTATTCCCCCTCCTCCATTTGCTTCTTGAGAAGTTTAATGGAATCAGTATGTTCCTACAAAAATACAGTGTCAGTTGGGTGGATGCACATTTAGGAAATACTGTGTCATTTTTTTCATGCCACATCTGGTTTTGGCCAAAACCAGTACAGATTCTTGTCTGTCCAGTTCTCAGTCTGTCAGGGTCCCTATGAATGGCAGCACAGCCATCTGGTGTATCAACAGGTCCTCCCAGTTTTGTATCATCTGCAAAATTCCTGAGGGTGCACTTTGTCCCACCCTCTGGGTCATTAATGAAGATGTTAGTATTGGTCCCAGTAGCAACCACTGTGTTACTGCACTAGATGGCCTCTAGATGGATTTTGTGCTGCTAATCACAACTCTTTGAGCCTGGCACTTCAGCCAGTCCTCAATATACCTCACTGTCTGTTTATCTCATCCATATTTCATCAGTTTGTCTATGAGGATGTTATGGGAGGCAGTGTCAAAAGCCTTGCTAAAGTCAAGATCAACAAGCCTTCAGTGACATCGGCCAGTTCTCTTGGCATTAGTGGTGTATCCCATCAGGTCTCGTAGACTTGTGTATGTCCAGTTTGTTTAAACGTTCCCTAAACTGATCCTTCTCCACCACAAGTAAGTCTTCCTTGCTCCAGACTTTTTCTCTGGTCTCAGGGGCCTGGGATTCCTGAAGGCAAATCCTTCCATTAAAGACTGAGGCAAAGAAAGCACCAAGTTCCTTGATGTTTTCTGCCTCCTTTGTCATCAGCGCCCTGTATTGGGTCTGGCTGAGCTGGAGTTACCTTTCCCCACAGCAGCCCTCACAGCGCTGTGCTGTGTACCGGTAGCCAACAAGGTGTTGGTAACACACCAGGTTTTTGGCTACTGCTGAGCAGAGCTGGCACACACCACGGCTGTCTCTCCAGCATCCCCCCTCAGCAGGAGGTGGGGGGTGGGCAAGATCTTGGGAGGGGACACAGCCAGGACAGCTGACCCACACTGACCAAAGGGATATTCCATACCATATGACATCTGCTCAGCAATAAAAGCTAAGAGAAAGGAGTTAAGTTTGTCTTCTGGAGCAACCGCTACGCATACTGAAGCCCTGCTTCCTGGGAAGTAGCTGGACATCGTCTGCTGATGGGAAGTAGAGAATAAATACTTTGTTTTCTTTCGCGACCTCTGCTTTTGCTTTATTAAACTGCCTTTATCTTGACCCATGAGGTTTTTTCCATCTTGTTTTCTGCCCTCCCTGAGGAGGGAAGTGATAGAGCAGCTTGGTGAGCACCTGGCATTCAGCCAGGGTCAACCCACAGCAGTCCCATGCACCGTTTAGCACCAGGCACACATTTTCCATAGCTTCCCTGTTGCTGCTGATATACCTGTAGAAGCCCTTTTAGTTGGCCTTCAAATCCTTCACCAGATTTAACTTCAGAAAGGCTTTGGCTTTCCTAACCCCAACCATGGATGCTCAGACATGGGTTACTTGTCCCTGCTCCTGCTCCCTGCTTGCTGCCTCTTTATGTTTGAGTTCAGTCAGGAGCTCCATGTTCATCCATGCAGGCCTCTTGCCATATTTACTTGGTTTCATGCTTATCAGGAAGAACCGTTCCTGAGCTTGGAGGAGGTGATCCTTGAAAATAAGCCAGCTCTCCTGGGCTCTTCTTCCCTCCAGGGCTATATCCCATTCAATTCTTCCAACCAGATCCTTGAAAAAGCCAAATTAAAATTCCCAAATTGAATCTTTCCTGTAAATCATCTTGTATAGTCAGGAATATGCTTTTAAAATTGCGTATGTTCTAGGACTATTGGAAGTGCATGATTATATGAACATCGAAAGTCAAGAAATATAAAATCTTGCATATCCAAAAGTTTGTTAAAAGTTGCAAATAGTTGGAAGAGGTTGGGTTTTGTTTGTGCGGGTTTTTTTTCCTTTAAAAAAATAGTACACTAATTACTATTTTCTTACCCCAGATGAATTCTCTAATGCAAGATTACCGAATCTATGAATTCATACCATGAAGCAGATTAGATAACACAATGGAAGCCAGTGAGCTGAAACAGTGACATGATTTGCCAATAACACCATAAAACCCATTTTGGTTAAAAAGCCAATATAGGAGATCTAGTATTTTAATTTAGTGGTCTGTAATGCTTCCTGCCACAGGCTAAGAAAGGTGAATTCCTGACTGCCACATAATCCAAAT